GACTACAACGAGATAAGGTAAATTATTCACGGAAATGTGCCTAGGAAGTGACTAGCACGTGGAGACATGGTAAACAGAAAAGTTATCTTGCGTTTCATTTTTCACCACTGCATAATATCTGTAGAAATGTACTTCAATTTCTCTTAAATTCATTCAAACGTCAATAAGTATTCCTCATGACATTATTTTCTGCACTTATGTATTATAATTTTTTTTTTTTGACAAACATGTATGCATGGGAACTGGGACTATATTTTTTGGCGTTAGATTAGCAAATGGGGTACCAATATAGCTTATTCTGAATGAGTGGCATTGCATTGTGGGTTACTACGGATACTACAGGAATTTTACGCTTGAAAAATAAAAACAAGGCGATCGGAAAAGCACAAAGAAAATTTTTTTCCATGCATTTGCGTGCATTTTTATGCTGTCCATTTTTATTCTATTATTTCCATGCTCACAATTACAAACAATTCATTAGTAACACGTTAAATAAACGTGGAATTCTAGGTTTACCAAAGTCATACTGTAAGGCGATTTCGTCCGCATTCCTCTGTTGTACTATCGGTGAATACAATTGTCAGGTGGGTTCCCTGACCAAAAAGCACAGATGATCACGGGTATTGTAATATGAAAAAAAAAAACAACTTTGTTGTCCATTTAACTGTAAGGAATGCTGCTCGTTTTCCTTAACCTTGAAGCGCTAGTGTTATGAACGTGGTACAGACATTTTTATATGCATTTTCTAGTTAACAACATAACAACAAAGAACAAGTCTCAGTAAAGCTTATCTGTGGTCCCCGGTTACTCGTCAAATTTCGAACATTTATTAACATTTTTAAAAATTAAATTTTATTATTAACTAATGTCTTTATTATTTGAATCATCATCTAAAAATGTCAAACAATAGATATAGGCAGCATACGAAGATGCGCGTTGAAGGTAAGGTCCTTTGATTTTCATGAATATCAAAAGAAATCAGTGACAGGTACACACTTCAAAGCTTTCGTAAACACCGAGCACAGGTTTGTTCAGAGTCGAGTTTGAAATATAATGTGCATATTACATGTGTAAAGGTTGAGTGAAAATATCTTTGTTGAACAACCTTGTGCTCTATGTTTTTTTTAATTAAAAGTATTGTGATTTTGAATCTCTTCGCTGGCTTCATTTACATGCGATTAACCTCTTTATGACCTGTTTAGAATCATAACAAGCCACGTGGATTTGTATCGATACGGGTAAATGCCCCCCAGTAATCGTGTTAGTTCTCAGTTGAAACGTACTCAGTTTTATATCGATCAGCATGAACTTGTTTGGTTAATCTTGTTATAGCTTTTTTTGCCAAAGTTCTGTTAATAGAAAATTGTATATGTAGTTGATTGTGAATCTTGAACATATTATTCGTCTTTGAAAAAAAAAAATATCATACCAAGATATTCTTTTTATAGTATCTAATATAAATGTCTCCGCCCATTTCCATGTAATAGAGAAACCGTAGTCTGATCGGGGGAAAATGTTCCGGCATTTTTTAGTGCGATAGGTGTTAAAAATAAGCTTGTATTTTTTGATATGTTTGATTATTCATTATAAATACACAATGTTTTAATTAGAAATACTTCGTTATACACAATGAAAACAAACTAAATACCGTATGCTTATATTTAACCGGTAAACCAAGGATGTAAAAAGGGACCACACTACTATACTTAAGTAGAATACTCCTTACAAACGCCCGTGGCATCTTTCATATTTTCTAATCTTTGTATTTTTTTTCATATAAACAGTTTTTTTTCCTTTTTTTTTTTTTTTCCTTTTTTTTTTTTTTTTTTTTTTTTTTTTTTTTTTGCAATCCATTCAATATCGATCGTAGATTGAGTTAAAGCACGTGTTCGAAGTAAAACGTAAACATACATGTATATGTTTCAAGTTAACGTTGCTATTCATTCAATGATTGGTCAGATCCCCTGTGCGTATTAATAACAAAAGCCATATAAGGTAAACAAAGGTTTGTCACAAACATTTTTTTCTACCAGCTTATCGGGCGATTTTGGAAAAAATAATAATACTAAGCTCCAATTCTCGCCGTAAATTATCACAAAAGCGAAGATTAAGTAAATAGATTGTGATTTTTTAAACACCCCCCCCCCTTTCTGTTTAAAATCTTGAAAATCTTTCAGAAAGTTTTTAAAAGAAACAGATTATAGTAATTCCTGTTTACTGCCAATTTTATTTATAAAACCGGTTCTACCCTTTAACCTTTGAATGGGTCAACCTACACCACGTGCCTTGAATTTAAATCACAATAACATTAGTAGGGGTGTATACACTGATGAAAAATGTTTTTGGGACTTTGAGAAAATTATATAGCGTAAAGAAAGATATTTTGATATTAACTGATTCATTTTTGATATAGGGAGCGTGCCTTTTTTATCCAGTAAAAATCTTCAAAGATAATGAAGTAATTTTAGATAAAATTCGCTTTTGCTTACTCAAATGGAGAAAATACATGCAAATAAAGTTTTCAACTACTCTATCTTGGTCTAATATAATGATTAGAATACTTGGATTTATTTTTAATTGTGTCATACAGTGCAGATTTCAATTCATTCTATTTCTATATCAAATGATGGGTCAGTCTAACTACACAAAAGTACCCTGAAATTAGAGAGGGATGTAGAGAAGGTCCTTAATAAAAGAATAAATTTTGCCGAGAAAATTTTCCTCAGAAAAGTTTTGTTTATTATGATTTCATAAATTTCAATAATGAGAACTTTACTCTATATATTAAATTCACAAATTGAAATGATTTTTATATATCTTCACCCATCTCCTTTTGAGTTATATTAGGTATGACGTTTGATGAAAATATTAAGAAGTTTCTTTTAAATTGTGCTAAATACAAAAAAATAAATAGTGAGATATTCCATAGAAAGTCAAGATAAAAAAATGACACTGTTGAATAGCTCTAATTAATGTGTATCTCTGTATGAAGTTTGATGAAAATATCTTGAACAGTTTCTTTATTTTGAAACTAAGATAAATGCAGAATAAGGAATAGCGAAGTCAAGGTCATAGGAAAGGTCATGGTCAGAAAATTATGACACAGTTGAAAAAGCCATATCAATATGTATTTTTGTATGAAGTTGGATGAAAATATATGGAACAGTTTAAAGCAAAGATAAATACGAAATGAAAAATTGTGGGGTCAAGGTCATTCAAAGATCAAAGTCATAAAATGATGACACAGTTTTACAGTCTCACCAATATGTGAATTGTGTGAGTTTTGAATGATTTTATTATGAACAATTTCTTCTAAAATATGCTAAATACAAAATAATTAATAGTGAGGTCAAGATTATAGAAAAGGACGAGGTCAGATATTAATGTCATAGTTGAATACCTCCCACCAATATGTATTAGTGTATGAATTTTGATAAAAATATCTTGAATAGTTATTTTGAAACTGAACTAAACATAAAACAGGGAATAGTGAGGTCAATATCACAAGAAGGTCAAGGTCAGATTAGGTGTCTGACAGTTAAATATCTCTCATCAATATGTATCATTTTATCTTGAAACTGAGATAAACGCAAAGTATGACGGAAGGACAGAAGGACGAGAGGCGGATGTGACAAACACTATTTCCCCGGCCATATACATGACGGGGCGTAAAAATACTGTCGCATGAGTGAAATAAATTCCATATCCAACTACAAAATACTGAATTTTCTGTTTGTTACATTTTTTTTTCCTTTTTGCACTTATCACCTAGATTTTATCGAACGCTACCTTTTCACAGTGGCGTAGGCTGTGACATATATACAATATGTAATAGTAGCTAAGGGATTGTGAGATTGAAAATTGTTAAAATGAATTTTAAAAACAATTCAAAGAAACCTTGTCGATTTTAGTCGGTATATAGGGTTGCTTTATTCACTCTTGCTATAGTTATCATAGTTATAAGGAGTATTTTCTTTAACACTCATCAGGGAAATTTTATTTTTACCGTGAAAGTAACGCGTCTGTGAAAATTTCAGTTTTGTTCAATGGATAAATTACAGTATTTTGAAAATTGTAATATATATTTTTTGTCGATAATTAAAGGCAGTAGGCCTGTAGAGGGCGCTAGATTACATTGACTTTTTTTCCAGGGTAAATGTTGTGAAGATTCTAAAAATTTTCCCTATAAATTTAAAATTTGACCATCATCTTTAAATTAAAAAAAATTCGTGAATATACTTGTTTATGTGATACATGCTATATATACATATTTAACTTAAATCATATTGTTGAAAATATGCGTAATGACAGAACTTATATATCAATCTTTTTAAATTATGGATGTTTTCTGTCAAGCAGATTTTCAAGTATCGCCGTAAAGTTCTTTATGTACGCATTGCGTTCCAAGAGAGTCACTTGATAGCCCCCTTACCTATCGATATTCGATCGATTTCACCTCAACCCCAGCAAATACATAGAACTGACACAGGTACTGGCTACAAGTTAAAACCTCTCAATTAGAATTTTACCTCAAATACCCATAACTTCCAGTTTGTTTACAGGACACAAACAAAATTGATTACATTCAAGTGAATTTATCCTACTGAATTTAACTGAAATAATATTTTAAAAGATCTCATACTAGTGCATTGAAAACTGTTTGATTATCTAAATGTCTTCGAATCGTTTTATATAATGTATAAATATATGAAAGATTTAATACATGCAATAAAAAAGTCTATTAGAAGAGACAGTCTTAATTTTCCTGAATAAAACTGTTCCCTTTTTTTAATCAATGGCAATTTTGTCGCTCCAGTTACAAACTCTCAGGTATGGTATAAATCTTATTTACTCCCAATTATATACCTATTAACTTTCATAAAGTGGAAAGGAAAGTCTATCGGTCCGTGCTCTCGTTATCAGGATCTCCAGTTTAAGAGGCACTTTATATTCACCATAACTACCTTAAAATCGGCCTTTTTATGACTTTTGGCTTTAACCCAGGTAGGTATAACTGGATAAGCGGGTGACAATCAGATACATAGAGAGTCACTCGAATTGATATAAATCGTTCTACAAATCTGACATAAAACATATGTACATAAAACTGGGGGTAGATTTGAAATGTTTTCATTGTTGTGTAAATTTCAGTGATGGAAGCAAGTGAAAAGTTAACGATACAGGCCCTGAAGGCACACGACAAAGTCCATCCAAAATTCAAGTCTGCTGGCCGAAATCTGAAACAAAAGAGTCGGGCCTCGCTATTATCATCTCCTGAAGATCCAAATGAAGTAAGTATTAATTTGTTGAAAAATATTTATTTTTGCCACTTTTTTTAAAAAAATACAGAGTCTAATACTTTTTTGCAGATCCACAAATCCACAAATTAGGTGGTGGTGGTGTGTGTGTGTGTGTGTGGGGGGGGGGGGACCTAGATATTTTGCTCATGTTTAATTGTAAGTGAAGCAAATGAACTGATGCTGAAATATGCAGATGTCTCTTTTTCAAATTCATTTAAATTTTATGTTGACTCAGTGGTCATAGTTCATACGTGAAAACAGTGACTACTTCAGGGATTTCTGACTTTTAAAATTAATAATGAAAACTATAACCCCCCCCCCCCAACCCCCATTTGAATATATCTGTATACATACTCTCTTATATTTTCTTTCTAACACATATTGTTTTGTTCGTCGGCTTTGATTAAGAAGTACTTTTTTCCTTTTTTGCTCGGTATTTTTTTTTTTCAGCTGAACTTACTTATCTCTGTATTTAACTGTTAATGGAGGGATATTCATTTATTTTCTTTAATTTTGTTCGTTGAAGCAATCTTTTAAGCCTAGAATCGAAAGAAAATGCTATGAATAAAAAAATTGTTATAATGAGCTTTTTCCTCTACAGAAGTAATTTGATTATAATTGCCCTAAATTTCAAAGTTTCATCAATGCTTCCTCGAATATAAATGATTTTCCACATTAAAATAATTGTAAAATACTATTCAACTTCCTTCATAGCTTTCCTAAATAGCTGTAAAGTACAATTTCTTTGTGATCGAACACCTGGAATGCTTAATTTATCAAAATGTTTTGTATACAGAATATAGGGCCAACTATACAGTTCAAGAACAAATTTGTTAAAAACAAAATGTAAACAAATCAACAGTATACCTTAATGCCTCGCTACCAGAATATCCGGACCACCAAGTACGCTGAAGAGTTAAATGTAGGACAAGAAGTTACACGAACAATTTCTTACATATTTTTTTATACGAGTTTTTATACGAATTCATAGTTACATTAATTCTTTCTGATTTTATTTCTTCTTATTCAAATTTCTTTATTTTTTTATGTCTTCTTTATTATTTATTTATTTATTTTGATATTTTATCTTGTTCCTTTTTTTTCTTTCTTGATTTAATATTTACATATATATGTTTGTTAGAACACACTTATATTTCAATATACTAGATGATTCTCCCTAGATGTGATTTGACTTGAATTTGGAGAACTTCATTCTCTCTTTCATAGTACTGCGTCACTTAAGGATATCCGATCCTCAGCCAGGAAGGATAACTCTTTAATTTATTATTTATTTCAAAAAGTCTTAAAATGAAGCTTAAATATGAAATCTTTTCATGCAACAATTTTCATTTTATGCATCTCAATGTAATTCAAGGTTCTTTGAAGTTTTAGAAACAGACTTTTAAAACTTTGATATGTTTACCCTATAAAGGTATGTTAAAAATACAGATTTAAAGAAACTGACTTTTTCTTTAATTTAGCCTTAGATAACAATGCTAATTAGCATGGTATGAAATAAGAAATGATTTATGGTGTTTTGCAATGATAGGAAACACTTTATAAACTATGCATTATAAAATAATTTAAGTACACTTAAGAAACTAAAGTACTGTACAAGTATAAAAATCATGCAATTTTCTTCAAATGCCTGGATACCTATAGTTTTTTATCCTAAAATGTTTTTGTTGATCAATTTCCAATTAGAAAATGCATAGTAGGTGTCTTTATTCGCATTTCCTGAATTTACTAATTTTTCCTATATAATATGATTAACTTTAATGATGAAGTTTGAAAAATTACCATGGGTAAATTGAACTAAATTCACATTACTTTGAGAATTCAGAGACATTTTTGTGAGCATTTTCAATTATTCAATGCCTGATTTTCAGAACCTGAGGATCGGACTACCTTAAAAAAGTCAGCTGTGTTGGATTTTATGTACATGCATACCTTTATAGAGCGATATATCCTATCTCCATTTACTGTCAATTCTGAGCACATCTCACTTTATTAAATACTGCTGTGTATAATCTCACGCTAGCAGCATTCAGTCAAATTGGAGATTAAAACCCTTATTTCAAACTAATATATGTGCAGCATACTTGACCTTGGTCTATTCTTTTAAATAAAATCAGTTACACATGTATCCCTTTCAGGTAAAGAATAAACAAGATGAAGGAAGCAACAGTCGTAGAAGTCGGACCCTTTCCACCAGTTCCCAGTCCAAGAAGTCTGAACCCCCCGCTCCAAGACGCTCCGGTATTACCTTCTTCCGTATCGTCGCAGCTACACGCGCATGGCAACGTCTTGCTAAAAAGAAAAGCAGCCAAGCTGCTGCACCCAGCAAACCCCAAGTTCGACTGGAAAATACGTACCAGTTGGAACCGGAGGACGATAAAACGTTTATACCCAAAAAGGCTGAAAAAATTATTCAGGAAATATTTGATTCTAGACTGCAGCAAGTAAAGTACGATTCTGTGCGAAGTAAACTTCTTGCAAAAGATTTGGCAACGGTCATAAACAAGAAAATCAAAGACTTGGAAATTCCTCGTTACAAGACTGTGAGTTCTGTGACAATCGTTGAAAACAAAGGCCAAGGACTCAAAGTCGTCACACGGTGCATCTGGAATACCACCACAGACAATTATGCCACATACACATATACCAACCAATCATTGATAGCGATCGGTCATGTGCACGTTGTATATTATGAATGAAATTTTTCATTTCCCTCTCCCGTTTTTCTTTTGAAAAAAAATCTTTTCTAACATGCCCTTATTATAAAAGTACATTAATAAAAATTGTGAGAGAACTTTTTGACCTCTTGAATCTTTTTCTGTATATTCCCTCCACGTATTTAATTTTGCATCCTCACAATATCAGGGGTCCTGTGTCACCTCGTTGCCGTGGGACCCCTGTCAAATTTCATTAAGTTTTTGTTTTTTTGTTTTGTTTTTTTTTTTTGGGGGGGGGGGGGGGCTTTCTTTCAGCGAGAAGCACAAATAAAATTGAAGTAGATAGATAATGTAAATAGAAAGGAATCAGTTGACACCTAAAATGCACGTGTTACGCATAATTTATCACCGAAAGGCTTAATGTGATTGGTTGAGAGATAAGAAAAACAATCAACATTTGTAATTTTCCCGAAAATTGTCTTTGCAGTCAGCCCGTAAAATATCGAATGGTATTTGTCAGGGGTCCTACGGAAACGAGTTGACACAGTACCCCTGACGTTGTGAGGATGGTAATTTTTGAAAATGAAAATACGTTGTTTGTCCTGCAAAATATGAAACAACAGAAAATAATGTTTATAACTATTGCATGAGCAATCTTTCAGAACTTTCAAATCCCTAAAGTAATTCCATTAAATCTATTTGTGATAATGATAATCATAAGAATACAGTTTTTGTTATTATTTGTTACCATTTTAACAATTTAAGGGTCCATTTCGTATTTTTCTATCCTCTCCTTGGCTCTTCTCTTGACTAGGGGAGTATATTATTAAAGGGATTCTCTTGACCAGGGGAATGTATTATTTAAGAGATTCCAGACCCATTGTTGAAAATGTTCCTTCATTTAAATTAATACACAATAGTAGTGTATAAATTTAAATACAATTTTTTCTCGGTTATTTCATATTTTGCAGGACAAAAAACGTATTTTTATTTTCATAAATAACTGAAATGTTTTCGTCTCCCTGCCGATATGTATCTTGGGTCTTGGTTTATAAAAAAAGGTATACCTATCAATACGTAAAAAGAGTATCTTTTACATATTGATAGGTATACATATCACTAAAACCAAGACCCAAGTATCTGTGTTTCTCATTATCAGGACTTTCAGAACGACAGATATACCATCACTAAGATCCTATCACAGCTATATAAATACTGATTGTCCCAATGTTCAATGGATTTCAAAACCGATGTATGATGGTGGTTATCTTCTGAAAATAGAATCTAGTTTGTTCATGTTTAACGAACTTCTTCTCTTTCACAGTTTAGAATGGTATTATCTATATGCATGAACATCCATTTAATTTTACTGCCATTGTAATGTGTTTCCTAGCTCTCCAATCGTCTGTTCTCTATCTCTAGAACTTTTTAAATGACCTTGGTCATACACTTTTATAATTCTTGAAAGAAATGCCTCAAAGGAATAACATTGCTGTCCAGCTTTTCCAGAAAATTGCTCATATAAGAAAATTTTCTGAGTTGATATGGATAGGTATACTTCTTCCTATCTGTCTTAAAATGTCTAAAAAAAAAAAAAGATATAAATTTGCAAAATAGAATAAAGATTTGCAAAGAAGTAAATACTTTTATAAGTATGGCACAAATTTTATTAAGTGTAAAAAGAAAAGAAAAAAAGGTTTGCAAGCCCGCAGTATATTTAAAAGGCTATACAAGTACTTTTAGCACTTCTTTGGTAATCAGACTGGTACTAGAAACTGAAGTCTATAAACAAGATGTGTTTGTGAAACACTGATGCCCCCCGAATGGCAGCTCATGGCGAGGGTTAAAGTTTCTCAAAAGCAAGTCAAACTCCATCATGGTCAAGAGGTCAAAACTATTGGTATCTAAAGAAAAGTCTTGTCACAAGAAATACACCTTTGAAATATGAAAGCCTTAGCACCAACCATTCAAAAGTTAAGGCCTAGGTTAAAAATTTTCGAAAGTAGGCCAAACTCCAAGATCTAGGTCAATGGGTCAAAATTGTTGGTGCCCAAATGAAGATCCTGTCACAAGAAATACACCTGTGAAATATGAAAGCCCTAGCACCAACCGTTCAATAGTTATGGCTAAAGTTAAAGTTTTTCGAAAGTATGTCAAACTCCAAGGTCAAGGTCAAAGGGTAAAAATTGTGGGTATCCAAAGAAAAGCTCTTGTCACAAGGAATAAACATGTATAATATGAAAGCTCTAGCTCCAACCATTCAAATGTTATGGCCAACATTAAAGTTCTTTAAAAGTGGGTTAAGCTCCAAGGTCAAGGTAAAAAATATTTGCACCAAAGTAAAGGTGTAAAGGTCTTGTCACAAGAAATGCACAGGTGAAGTTTAAAAACACATAGCCCCAACCGTTCAAAAGTTATGGCCAAGATGAAAGTTTGGTAAAACCTTGCAAAAGTAGGTCAAACTCCTAGGTCAAGAAGTGAAATATATTGGAACCCAAAGGCCTTGTCAAAGTAAAGGTGTAAAGGTCTTGTCACAAGAAATGCACAGGTGAAGTTTAAAAACACATAGCCCCAACCGTTCAAAAGTTATGGCCAAGATGAAAGTTTGGTAAAACCTTGCAAAAGTAGGTCAAACTCCTAGGTCAAGAAGTGAAATATATTGGAACCCAAAGGCCTTGTCACAACGAATACACATGTGAAATTTGAAAGTCCTTGCTCCAACCAATCAAAAAGTATGGGCAAGGTTAATGTTTTTGCGGACAAACAAACAGACAGACAGACGGACAAAGGCAAAAACTATATGCCCCGAATCTTCGAATTACGGGGATATAAAAGTAAGGTACAACATTATACATCCTCCAAAATAAATAAATAAATAAGATAATTTAAGAATTTAAGCCTTTAAAGAAGTAGTATTTACAAACTCTAGGCCCCTGAAATTAAATTTACCTGGAAACCTAAATTGCAACATTATTGATATACTGTACATGTAGCTGTCAAGACTCCAATTAATATATGGGGATTGACTCTATCAGGAATTAAAAAATTATTTTTGTTATCGTATACATTGTACAATATTTACATCCATTTAATATTTTCTCTTATTTTTTTATGAAAACGATTGTCATTATCATTATTAGATTCGTTTTCTTTTTCTTTTTTGAAAAACATCTATTTGAAACCTTTCTTAAGAACTTGGCTCTTCTAACAGTGTATATGGGCCAATAAAACAATGTGTTACGTACTTTCATCCACTTTATACGAATAATTCCTACGCATATAAATGCAAAAAAAAAAAAAAAAAAAAAAAAAAAAAAAAAATCTGCAAATGAAGGGATTAACGGTTGCAATCACTGCAGAAAAAATACAGTACATAGCCCACTTACGCCGGTCACGGTGTAGATTGTATTTTTTCTGCAATGTCGCAAACATTATTCCCGCATTAACTTACAAAGAAAACAAATATTGTTTAAAAATCTGAATTTTTTGTCTATTTCTGTCAAAACCGAGTACCCCCACCCCCATCCCCGGGCTTTACTTTCCTTCATTCCTTCAAAATTCACTGAAACAAATGGAGCACTCTTCGTCCACGGAACCAGTTAAAACATCTGATTTTACTTTCAAAAATATTTATTACTCAATGTTTAAATGAAACACCGACCTAGAGTTCTGCAGCATGTACCTACAGTATAGTTTTGTTGAGCCTACAACTATCCTTCAAAAACAGCATGATACAGCTAGTGATTGTGTTGTGTGTGTTTTTTTAGTTGGTACAACACTAAATGTTCTGTTAGATGTAAAAACAATTTATTCCTAGAACAACATCAGCATTTGAGCATTAAACATAACAGCAATGATGAAGTCTAATACATATATTAATGTTTTCTTCCCACATCACGCAGGTACATTTCAATATATTAATATATCATGGAAAACTTGTCATCTTGTCTTGTCTTGAAATACTGGTAATGTAACGTGTTTTGAAATCCTATATTTGCAAAGTTTACTTTCGGAATGCCAGTTCCCTGTCCCTAACCTAAGATGTTATGCTTAGGTTCCAACACACGCAGTGGGGACTATACAATCTCCGACCGCATGGTATTTCTATCTTTCTTCGAGATCCATCTTCGGACATTGCAGATTCTGTCAAATGTACATCTGTTCCTCGCCCAATCACGGACAGTTGTGTTTGGCATGTTGTACAACACATTGTCCGGAAGAACTGTTTGATCTGCACTTATCATTAAAATATTCTCTTTCGAAATAAGCCCTGTCAAATTCCGATGTAAATCAGCTTGCACAAAATCTAGCTCTCTAAGAATGGTCGCTAAGTTTCGGACCATGGAAAAATTAATCCTTATACTGCCTGACGCTCGTGGTATCAGGCAATGAATGTTCACCACTGTTCCAATTTATCGTCCAAATCACAGTGGCCATAAAACCCACTTCATCTTCGCAATTCAAATTAAGTTCTTCTCCCAATTTACAGGCAATTCGAACAAGCGGATACGTTTTCCAACATGTTTTTTTTTTTTGTTCATTTGTGCCACGGTTTTATATAACATTGTTCCATCTTTTACAAAAAGCCTTTTATCCAGAAGCTTTTGTTCTTCAATTATGTCTGAGCCTTTGAAAACATATTAATGACATGTCCATACGTATCATAACAGGAATGAACTGACACGAAATTGGATGCAAAAAGGTCATTATATCGACCATCGAATTTGCGAAATGTTGTCTTTAAACGAGATTGTTGTTACCACTGTAACATTAACTTATTTGTCACTAGCCTGCCTTTTGGATGTTGTGCGTATGTAGAACATGCTATTGCGTATCGAATTGAAAGCCACAGCAAGATTCTTCTTTATTTAATATAGAAGTTTTTCAATAAATATACTTCTGCTTCATGAGTACAAACACAAGGTCTGCTAAAAAGAGACACAATGAGTACTCATGGAAATTCCAAAAGATTGTTGAAAGACCTGGTCTTTAAAGACTACACAGATATTGCCAACTCTTTTAATATCAACTTCAGAGTACTTGTGTTGAATAAAAATACATTTTAACAAAATAAGTCTGCAGATGACCAATCAGAAAATTTCCGAGACCCATTTTTATTGAAGAAGTAGTTATGTATGCCAAGAGGCCTGCTCTTTAATTTGTCGTGTAGGAATGTAGAAAATGTTGAAAGTTATATGTTTTGATGCTATTAATTTTGGTAATTTTGTGATTTTAAATTTTCTAATAGTTCCTAGGAGTTTTTAGGTATCCACATTTGATTAACACCACTTCTCGAATATGTTGTTTCACAATATTGTTGAAGTTGTTCCCTTTATTGTTGTTGAGATTTACTAGTATACAGGGAGTAAAGAAAAAAAGTAGAATCGGCTTTGTATCTTTTAAAGATTTTTTATGAAGTTTTGGAATCCAATACAGGTATGGTAGTTCAAATTCATTTTGGTTGTTAGGAATATTGAAAACATTTAAACCTACATATGGTTTTGAAAAATCTGTTTCTTTGAAAGGGAACTGTAAGTATACTTTGGATTACCACTCCCTACTTTCCGTTGGAGCGCTAAGTCAAAAGTATTTTGTCGTGAACCTCTAGCATGCTGGAGTATGTTGTTGTATGTATTGTCAGCTGGAACCTGTAGATACTGATCATGTAATTTGTTTTTTAATTTTCTAATTAACAATATGTAAATACAGAAGGATAGATGGTTCGCATTTTACTACTCAAGTGTTTTATACGAGATTTCAATTGAAAGATCGGGGTTCCCTAAATTTTGGACCTTTGAAATGAGTGATTTAAGGTCCTCGTCGCTGAAAGAACAAGATAATGAACACGTAGTAGGATTTTGTTCCAGATGGTCGATATCTAGGCACTGTTGAGGGTTTCCTTTTTGTGGTTAAAGGGTTTGGGAGAATAATCAAAGAATATAAGGAGAAAAACGGATTGGGGACTTCAACTTTTAAATATGGTGCAAGACTGAACCTTTTTGTGATAAAATTTTTTTTTACTGTTTACGTTCGATCAATTTCTTTTTTGGCAAATTTTAGCTAAAGGAACCGACTTCACCGGATGATTTCAAAGTCCATAACACATGACAGAATAGAAAGCCTGTGATAAGCAGAATCCATAATCACAGATCCCTGTATTTTTCTGTGGTTGAAAAAAAAAGGTTTACTTTTATATATCAATTATTTATAGTAAGTATCTAATAAGGTTATTAGCATTATGATATTTTTCTTTCTAGAATACTAACTCTCATGACAAAAAAGAGCATCCGATATTTATAAAATATTTGTTCTGTAAATTTTATACCAATAAATAAATATATTGATTTGGCAAATTCTGACATTGAGTTACTGGAAAAATTCAAATTTTGTTGAATCCTATATATTTACTGTTTGTGTCATATAGAAAAAAATCGAATCTTGCATAGAATAACCTCTATTAACTAATATTCACATTTTCCAATGCCTTTCTCTGAGATAAATCTACAAATAAGGTAATGGCTTTATAACCCAATGAAGCGATTTGCTCAACACGTGACAGAACTGCATGCTTTTTCGCTGCGTGTTGCTTAGTAATACACCTGGCGGGGATGCTGAGATTTCTTATTATTGAATTTTTTTTATTGAGTCAAGGATCAGGTAAAAATTTAAATATAAGGAATAACTGTCTAGTTTTTGGTTTTATGATGATGATCAATCAATTTGCTCGCATAATTTTACGCATAAACGCCTTCGGCGTTTATGCAAATTATCATGCGAGCAAATTGATTGATCACATCATAAAACCAAAAAACTAGACAGTTATTCCTTAAGTAGATCTTTCTATTTATGATGAATGATCCTTTTTTAAAATTTGATGCTTTTCTATTACAGTGTTCGCATTTGTCTGCTTGTTTTGCTGAAAGTGGAGGATGAACCCTTCTCTCAACTTGGCTCTTCCCCTGTCTAGTGGGCGTATTTATATTGTTGTATACATATAGGTATTCCAGAATCCAGACCCGGACGCCACACTTTAATTATTAGGCCATTACTGACTTTACTGATACTTTGTCACAACTAGAAAAGTTCAAAATTAAAAAAAAAAACCAACAGCATGTTTCAAGAAGGAAAAAAGATGGTCATTATCATTTATTTCACTTTACACAAAGAATACGATATTATTTTAAATACTCTACTATTGGGTTATGTTAATATTGTAACGGTCCCTTTCTTTCGCATAATTTTCTTATTTTAGCTTCATAAAAGAACATAAACATATATACAATTCATCTACACGTGTTAACACAGTTTAAATATGATCACATCTATAATTGAATTGAGTGCATTAATCAAGTTTAATCGGAGTGATCATGCGCACTGCCTCGCCGAAAAAGTCCTCCCACTCCATGAAAGAATGACATTACTTTGGTTTTAATACTTTGCAAAGACCATGATATCAGATATCCTAGATCACGTATGTAACTAGCTATAACACTTTTACGACTCTGTGTATCCTCAAGTGCCTCTTCACCAGCAAGCTTTTCTAACCGTTTATCATCTTCGACTGTCCACGTATCACCTAAAAAGTTAGATACAATAATATCATTGTTATTATAGAACAAACACCCTAATTATCCTAAATAAGAAACCGGTGCTGTCACAAGTCAGCTATACTCGCACACAAGTGTTTGATTCTAAAATTATTCTCCCTGGTAATGAAGAAGCACATTCCATAATTTACATACACTAGTAAATAGTCATGTACCAAACTGCATAAGATGTTCAGGTGAGCATGTGGGTCGTTGGTTTCTAATGTTAGAACATATATTTCATAAAATATTCATTACCGTTCCGATACTATGGAATTCAATGAAGCATAAATTATGTTTGAAAAAGTTTTGAGAAGCAAGTTTTTGTGTTTTAAATAAATAATTTCATGAAGTCCGAATTTGCCCCCTCCCCCCCCCCCCCTTCCCACAATGGAAAAGAAAATTCCGAAAGAGCAAAACTTTATGGCACACCTATAGGACACCAACAGTCATGTTCTAAAAGTTGATTTGGCTACTGCATAAAATGTACGAGTTCTGGGAGCTTGATTTTTGTAGAAAAAGCGTTTCTCGATCCCCATTTGGCTCCCGGGGTAAAACTGAAAATTCAGAAACCCTACTGCAAACCAATCATATTCCAAAATATACTTTGACTGCTTCTTAAAATTTAAGAGGAATTCTGGGAACTATTAAAAAGTTGCTTTTCGATCCCCACTGGTTAAGAGGAAAATTCAATCAACAGGAGATCACCATTTTACTCCAAATAATGAAATTGGCTACTGTGTAAAATGTAAGAGACCTGGAAACCAGGTATTCGTACATAAACATCGTTTAAAAGCTCCCAAATGAAAATTCCCAAACCATAGTTTATATCTACAGGTCAATACCTATCATATTCCAAAAGATGAATTGGTTACTACTTACTACTTAAAATGTAAAGGAGTTTGAGGAGGAAGATGTCGAAAAATTGTCGTTTTCAACCCCCAATTGGCCCCTTGGATAAAATGAAAATTATCACATCTCAGTGCACATATACAGGAGTGGACACCACCTATCATATCCAAAAAGATGGTTTGGCTACTACTTAAAATGGAGGAGGTTTTTGGGGATGAAGATTTGTCGAAAATCGACATTTATAGACAGTCCCAACTTGGCCCAAATGGTGAAACTGAAAATTCTGTGAAACCTTATTGCATATGATCTACAGGTAACCATTTATCATATACCGACTTCTGCATACAATGTAAGCGATGTTTGAGGAAGATTTTTTTTTTGTTGAAAAATGTCTCAATAGACCCTTAATTGGCCCTTGATAGACCTTTTATTGGCCCTTGAGTGAATTGAAAACTCTTAAAACTTTTTGCATACCTAATGGGCACCACCTATCATATTGAAACAATCCGGGAAAAGTTATTCCGGTACAAGCGGTATTTTAGTCATGTTTCCGCTAGATGGCGTTGTTGGCCACATAGGGTATAAATACAAGTGAAGCGGCAGAGCTGTGTTAATTGCGAAGTTGATGCTGAAGTGGCAACACAAGCGGCGGACCATTAATGATCAGAGGTAACTTTTAGTTAATGATAATAAATAAATATTTAAAGCGTTAGACGTGACTGAACAAGTCTTTCCTGGCTTTAAATATTATTTATTACCAAGAAAGCTACCGAGGGAGCCAGTAAGAGCCGAGCTGTAAGAGCCGGTTATCATAAGAGCTGAGCTGTAAGAGCCAGTAACCATAAGAGCTGAGCTGTAAGAGCCAGTAACCATAAGAGCCGTGCTGTAAGAGCTAGTAACCAGAAGAGCCGAGCTGTAAGAGCCGATCGCTTAGGAGTCAGCGTCACTTTGATTTATTGTACCTAATTGATTAAAGACAAGTAGTCTAAACATTTATCTGTATATATTGCTTAATCACATATTTGTATATTTTGATCCTGCCAGGTCCTCAGAAAGTTAACTGGGGGAATTCAGCCGCCTCTGCTATTTGTTATTATATTATTAGATTTCACGCTACAAGTTTTTGGTGGCAGCAGTGGGATACTACCTGGTAGTATTTTATTGAATTTTTTTTCTTTGTACAATATCGTTAATCATGAATATTGATGAGGTCAATGCTACAATACGAGAGCTCGAGAGCCAGATTGCCTCATATGAGCTGGAGCTTTCACAAAGGAGCCACTCCACACCTGTAAGGACGCCAAATAAAGATCGTCAGGTTACAGACTCAGGGTTTGCAACCTCACATGCTGTAGATGATATTGAATTAGAAGAACAAACTGGAGCTAGGAGAAAATCTGTAAGATTCGGGGATCGTGTCGGTACTGCAAAGGAATCAATGGAGGATGAATTCGACCTTAGCCCTTATTTGAAAAAGAATGAACAGGAGACGCCCGGAAGAAGACGTGAAGATCCAGTATCAAATGAAACCATTAGGAGGAAGCCAAGAGCCTCGTCTCCCAGCACTGGAGTCCAGTACGCTACCAGTATGCGTGATACAAGCCCAATTCTACAATCTAGGAACCGTCAACATTCTCAAAACATAAAGCCGGCAACGTATGATGGTTCGACGTCTTGGCTTGATTATAAATCACATTTTGAAGCATGTGCAAAGTTAGGTAATTGGGACGAAACAGAGAAGGGGTTGTACTTGTCCGTATCTCTAAGAGGCAGTGCTCAAGGTGTTCTTGGAAATTTATCGGATGGTAAAGAAATGAGCTACAAAGAGCTGATATCTGCATTAAGTGACAGATTTGCTCCACCAGACCAAGTAGATTTATATAGAGCTCAACTGAGAGAGCGGAGACAGAGAGCATCAGAATCCTTGCCAGAGCTTGGTCAACAAATCAGGCGTCTTGTGAACTTGGCATATCCTACAGTACCTGCAGATGTAAAGGAAACTCTAGCTAAGGACCATTTCATTGATGCCTTAGCCATATCTGATATTCGGTTGAGAATCAAGCAAGCCAGACCAAAGAATTTAAATGAGGCTGTTAGAAATGCAATCGAACTAGAAGCTTTCCTTAAAACTGAACAAAGATTGGGAGGCGTGAATTCATCTTTGAGAGCTGTTGGACAAGACACATCTAGGGATGAATTAACAGTAGAGTTGAAAGAGGTGAACAATACCATACTGAATCTTCAAAAGTCGATGATGTCCATTGTTGAAGAGCTGAAAGAGCTAAAACAAAAACATGGTGATCTACAAAAAGACAAATGGACAAAGAAACCTGAATGGAAGAAAAACGCTACTTGTTATAACTGTGGCAAGAGGGGACATCTCAAAAAGGAATGTCGCTCAAAACAGAATCCCCAGAATGTCAATAAAAACCATGCAGTGCAGAGAGGAACAAAAGAAACAAAAGAGTCATGCAAAACGGAGTCTCCTGAAAAAGTAGGGATTACTGGGGATGCTGGTATTTTTGTTAAAGCATCTATTGATGGTTTTGATTTAAACATATTGGTTGACACAGGAGCTACACTGTCTCTTTTGGCTAAACATGTATATGATAAACTTCTCGAATGCAACAACTCACTTGAAACTTTAAAGAAAGTCAGCCAGCCAGTGCTATCAGCAAGGAATGACCCTCTTACGATTTATGGGAAACTCAGTGTCCCAATCCTTATAAATAACATTTTGTATAGTACCGAAGTTGTTGTTACAGATTTGACTGTCGATGCAATTTTGGGGTTAGACTTTTTGATCGGAAACAAATGTGTTGTCGATTTAACAACGCAGATTTTGGAAGTAAATGGGAAACCCTCACCTTTGAATAAAGCGGGTCATATTGGATGTTACCGTGTTGCTGTGGCAGAAACCATTCATATACCACCTAGGTCTGAAATTGTCATGAATTGCAACGTGTGTATACCTGACAAGGTGCCATTGCCAAGAGGTTTAGGGATACTAGAAGGCGATAAAGACTTTCTGAAATCTGAAAGAGGGATAATTGGCAAGGTGCTTGTCACGAACCAAAACTCCGTTCCTTGTCGACTGATGAATCCTAGTCCAGATGTACAAGTCATTCATAGTGGAACTGTTGTTGCAAATTTGACACCAGTTGATGGCATAGTAGAAGAATCACATCAAGCACCAACAAAACAGCTAAAAGAATTACCAAAAGCTCTCAAAGAATTGCTTGATAGATCAAGCAAAGGACTGAGCCAGCAACAGACCGAAGAACTGAAGTCATTACTCTTGCGGAATGTAAATTTGTTTTCTAAAGATGACAGGGATTTTGGAAGAACAGATATTGTAAAACATTCCATAAATACAGGGTCAAGAGTACCGATAAGACAGCCTCTGAGAAAAACTCCTGTTCACTGGAAGGACAATATAGACAAACAGATTGAAGAGATGCTCAAGTCAGATGTCATAGAAAAATCAACAAGTCCTTGGGCGGCCGGAGTAGTTCTTATTCGGAAGAAAGATGGGAGCCTTCGATTTTGCGTAGATTATAGAAAATTGAACGACGCTACTATCAAAGACGCCTATCCTCTTCCGAGGATAGATGAGTCCTTGGATCATCTTTCAGGATCCTCCTGGTTTTCAACCCTTGATCTATCATCGGGATATTGGCAAGTTGAAGTAGATCCCGTTGATAGACCAAAGACAGCGTTTATTACAAAAAAGGGTTTATATCAGTTCAAGGTAATGCCGTTCGGACTGTGCAATGCTCCGGCGACCTTCGAACGCCTCATGGAGACAGTCCTGTGTGGTCTCCAATGGGATATATGTCTGATATATCTCGATGATATTATTGTGTTTAGCAAAACCTTTGAGGAAATGACAGAGAATCTGCAGAAGGTCTTTGATAGATTACAGTCAGCTGGGCTCAAATTGAAAGCAAAGAAATGTACTCTTTTTGGAGAGCAAGTTGAATACCTTGGACATATTATCTCCAAGGCCGGAGTAGCAACAGATCCTAAAAAGATAGAAGCTATCAAACACTGGACAGAGCCGACATCTGTTAAAGAAGTAAGATCATTCATTGGGTTATGCAGCTACTATCGGCGGTTTGTGAAAGATTTTGGTAAG